ACTGTGATATACCTTTGCAAGGAAATACCATTCAGTGGTAAGCTGATATTAAATGTATTTGCTAACTTAAAAATTGCCAGGCTATCTATATGGATTATTTGTTTGTCATCTTGGAATAAATAAAAATACAGGAACCAAAAATAACTTTAGTGATGGCCAGAGGTTTAAATGAGATGAATTCATTATAAAGGGGCAATGTAAGGAATAAAATAGGACAAAGGGATGTTTGTAAGGAGCTATGATAGTATACACGTGTTTACATATGAATATATTATTAAAACCCTTATAACTATATACCATGAAGAGTAATTCCACTGTATACAATATTAAAATGAATCAGATAGTGGAGGGAACTACAGATAGAATTCATGCTGTGATAAATGAATCTGACTATATAAAAATTAACTGCATATACTGAAGGAACTTAGGAAAGAAAGCTGACTTAAATAACTTTGAAAAATACTGTTTTGACTTGGACACAAGTTTAAGGACAAAAATAGTATGCATAATACTGTGCTCTAGTTAAGAACTTTTGTTTGTATTGGTATATTGGCTAGCAGTTATACGTTCGTTACATGTATAGTCATTTCTACTATATCATGACACATATGTTACTAAAAATGATTCTACCACGCAAATGTGTGTGATAAATTCTAAGGAGCTGTGGGGAAAATTGGGTTGGAAATATACATGAGAACCTAAAGACACATAACAACCAAATAAAATTATATTTTGGTATATGTGAAATGAATAAAGTGTGTCAATACTACAATAAATATGCCATTTTGGCTTGAAATGGGCCTGATGGCTGCTTGTGGAAGACAATATCAAAGGGATTGCAGCTTGTGAAATATGAAGTAGTGGAAGGAGAAGTGTCTGAACTTGAGGGGAAGTTGTAACAATAGTAATAGACAGATATAGCTCATAACATATGCAGTGCACTGAGGTGTCTGATGCAAATTTGAGTTGTGCACTTCCGTGTGTTTTATGTATCCCTATACAGCATAGTACAGCTAGGTGCAGTGCTCTGTATTCATCTATTACTTTACATAGAAATCGGAACATAAGCAAACACTTACTTTACGTTATATGTATGTAAATGTTCTGTGTTACACCAATCGTGTTAGAGCAAATTGAAGCTTTCAAATGTTATGCATATGTCTGTGTGCATATGCATGAGCACACAGGCACACTGATAATGTGGTTTTCATTATCTGTGTTTTATTTTCATTAATGTTGGGAAAAGTAAGTAATTTGGTATGGTTAGTAGATACAAGCCATCATACAAAATTAATTCTGTTACTCCATTCTAGCAAAATATGATTGAAAAACTTTTAAAATATCACTTTAAGTAGCATCAAAATCCATTAAATGTATAAAAATAAAACAATAAGGAAAGATGTAGAAGATCTCTATGCAGACATTCTTAAAACACTGGAAATTTTAAAGACCTAAATAAATGAGGTTTATATATGTGTGTGTATGTACATACACATATAATGTATAATGTTCATGGGCTAGAAAAGTCAGTATTATGAAGTTTTCTCTAGTTTGATCCATAGACTGAAAGAATCCCAGTCAAAATCCCAGCTGATTCAGTTGCATAAACTGGAAGGATAATATGAAAATCTTTATGGAGATACAAAGGGCAATGAAAAAGATAGGTAGAATCCTAGGATTTAAATCTCAAAACAAAGAATCCAGAATATAACCTGGAAATAGACCGACAAATAGTGATTTGATTTGCGACAGTGTGTCTAATATTTTACAATGGGGAAAGGACTGTTGTGTTGCTCTTGTTTTATCTTAAAATGGGATAATTTTATGTAAATATGGGAAAAACATTAACATTGATCTACCTTTACACCATACACACACACACACACACACACACACACACACACACACACACACCATATATAAACATTGACTTGAGATACGCTTGGCACATTCTGTAATCATGGCTACCCAGGAGGCTGAAACAGGAAGACTACGTAAGATCAGGAATTCAAGGCCATCCTTGGTGGTATGGTAAGATTCTTTCTCAAAAGATGAAGTGTAAAACAGTAAGATTTCTAAGAAAAATTGTAGAGGAATATCGTTGTGACCTTGGGAATGCAAATTATCAACCATATAAGAAAATAATAAAATACACTTTGATACAATTAAGAACTTCAGATTGTCAAACCTGGCAGTAGTGACATAAAACTTTAATCAAAGCATTTGGGAAGGAGAGGCAGGCAGATCTCTGAGTTTGAGGCCAGCCTGGTCTACAGAGCAAGTTCCAGGACAGCCAAGGCTACACAGAGAAACCTTGTCTCGAAAAACAAAACAGAACAACAACAAAAGAACAAAAGGGAACTTCAGATTGTCAAAGGCTACCACTGAAAAAATACAAACCACAAAAAGGAAGAAAACGACACATAAATTTGACATATTTCAGGCTATGTAAAAAAAAATACTCCTATAGCTCAATACAAATAGGCAAAAGAATTACATGAGAATATCACAAAAGAAAATGTCCAAGTAGTCCACAAATAATAGAAAAGATGCTCTATATCATTATTTATCAAGGAAATACAAATTAGAAGTAAAATGTGATGCTACTATGTATTGATAACTCTCTGTTGTGCTAAAATGCTGACCTGGTCACGAGAAATTTAGAAGTGAAAAGGGTATATTTGGGATTCCAGTTCCAAGGGGATATTGTGTGTCATGGTGGAGAAGGCATGGCAACAGGTAAGGCATTTCTGTCAGCAGAAGTGGGAAGCAGTGTGATCAAATTTTCATCCTCATACAAGAAGCAGAGAGAAAAAGCAGGAGGTGGGGCAAGACCATAAACCCTCAAGGCCTGTCCCCAGTGACATACTTTCTCTACAAGGCTCCATCTCCTAAAGATTCCATAAACTATTCCAAAGAGTTTCACCAATTAGGGATTAAGTGTTAAAATCCATGAGCCCATGGAAGATATTCCTTATTTGAACCACCACATACTGCATACAAATTGAAGATCAAAGTAACAGTTACTGGGCCAGCAAGATGGCTCAATGGGTAAAAGCATTTGCTTCACAACCATGCAAATTCAATGAACTAGATTCAGTCTCCAGGACTTAATGGAAAGGTAGAGACAACTCAGTGCACAAATTTGTCTTTTCACCTCCACATGCATACCAAGGCATGCGTGCCCCATCCCTGTGATAATAAATTTTAAAAGATTTTTTTAATACCAACTGTTATAAGGATAGGGAGCACAGCTGGGAGGCATGCCATTAATAAAACTTCTTTGGAAAACTGTTTAGTGGTATCTCGTAAAACCATGCACAAACACACACACACACACACAATCTTAGCAATGACTTTGCAATCTCACCCATAAGCATATATTCAAGTGGAATAATTTTATCTATTCACTAAAATATGCACAAGAATCTTCACAATATTTCTATTCATAAGAGCTAAAAATCTGAAGCAACCATGTCAACAAAAGGATGAATTAAATAAATTGAATAATGTTTGTATAGTAGAACACTTGCAAAGCAAGAAAAGAAAATAGTCTCTGGTCCATGCAAAAATATAAATGAAAATCACAGGCATTATCTATCATGAGGAAAAGAAATCAGGCACAATAGGATACACTGGATTCAAGCTGAACAATGAATGTGTTGGGGTGGTTAGAGAGATGGATAAACAGTCAAGAATGCTTGCTGATTTTTAGGGGCTCCAAGTTCAGTTCCTGGCACCCATATTGGCAATTCATAGTCACGTGTAAAGCCAGCACCAAGGGATCTGTCGACCATTTCTAGCCTCTGCAGGTGCCCACACACATGTGGCATACACTCGACCCACACACAACATCTAAAGAAACTACTTTAGATTTTGTCTAATTTTCAATATATCTCATTGTAGATAATGTAATGTGAGTATTCAAAAATCTAGAAAACTGAATTATTTCTGCTCCTAAACATTTTCAGAAAGGGGGTACTATTGTGTAGCACTTTCCTCCAGGATTAAAACTTTCCATCTTGGAAGGAAGCTCATTAAAACACAGGATATTAAAGGAAATTCAACAATTAGATATTTAAGACAGGATATGTATTCAAAGGCAAGTAAACAACAGGATATCCTGGGCGGATGGCTCACTAAGACTTGGGATGCTTGTAGGGAGGTCAAACAGGATGCTCTAAGGGAAAGTAAAACATGCCTGCTGCAGAGAAACTCTTTATGCTCAGGAAGTAAATAACTCAGTAGCTTCAGAAAGTCCCTGAAACTGACCAAATGTACTAGGTCCTTCTTACCCTATGCATAAATAAGCAGTAAGAACTGCTTAGCGATTGTCAATCTGAGCTGCTTGGAAGAAGCAGAGACCAGCAAGCTGCCTAGAAGAGGCTCAGACAACCAAGTCTTCCAAGATTACAGATGTGGAGCACCGTACCATGCACCATGATGTCATGCTGCTGCATCAAGCTACCTCAAATACTCATTCAACAGATGGTAAATAGAACTCAAGTATGGTGTGTTGCATCTGAAATCATATTCTTCTCATGATGAGAGCCAAGACACATTATTGACTGAATAAATGAAACAAATTTGGAAACTCTTTTGCTCATAAAACTATTGTTAGTTCATGCAGCATTATGTTTTCTGTTTAATTCAGCCATGACAGTGAGTGTCAGCTCAAAGGACACAGGCATGTCCATTAGAGTCTTAGCAATAGCACCAGAACACTTTCAGGCCAGTTAAAAGAATCACAGTTGAAGTTTCAGAATATGTAGTAAATGCTAGTAAATGTGTTTTAGGGTAGTAAAATTAGTGATGTACTTATAAATATTAAAATGTTGAAAGTCTATCAATAGAGACTAGGATGGCCTTCAAACTGTAAGTGAAATTAGTGTTCCCTTAAGGGAAAACTTGTCCAGTTAGGATAGGCTAGGCTAGGCTAGGCTAGGCTAGGGTACTAATGTTGAAGTAACAGAAAATGTTAAACTTTCTCTTTTCTTTAGGGGACTTCTCAGGTGATGACTGTGGAGTAATGCTTCTGCTGTATGAATTTGAAATTAAAACCAAAACGAATGACCCATCACTGAAAAGCTTTCTGGATTCAGTTTGGAAGATGCCTGGTTTAGGAAGTAGAACCCTTGAAACAATAGCATGTGAGTGCTCTATTTGTACCTGTGTAAGGCCACTGCCCATTTAGATCCTACTGTTTTCTGTCTTCTGACCTTGAGATGATTTTCCTTATAGTGTATTGTTTCTCCCTCTCTGATGTATTCTTAAACTATTTCGAATTAAAATCATTTATATAGTTATCTTTTTCACTCTATACGATTGTAATCTCATTAGGATCATGAGCAATAATTACTTATATGTATTATATTAATAAATCTTAGTGAAGAGCATTGTTCATAATAGGTGCTCAAGTGCAGTCTATATGTAGAATTTAATTATGTAACAACATGATGGGGAAGTAGCTAAAAATGATAGATAGCTGCTTTGATGATCAAAGATGACTCAGCCTTAGTAATTTACTAAAATGTATGGAGAAACTTGCAAAAGTTTTTAAAGTTTTTACATTTCTCTCTGTCTCTGTCTCTGTCTCTGTCTCTGTGTGTGTGTGTGTGTGTGTGTGTGTGTGTGTGTGTGTGTGTGTGTTTACATGTGTGAAGGTTAACTGAAGACTTGCAGGAAGCAGTTCTCTTTGCAGCATATAGGCCCCAGTGATTGAAATCTGGTCATCAGGATAGGTAGGAAGTACCTTTTAACACACTGAGCCATCTCACTAGCCCCTAGAAATTTGGAAATATTTTAACACAAGTGTCATTTTCAATTTTTAAAACTATTCTATAGGACGTATGGGCCTCAAAGCCATTTGGGGTATATACTGCTGGAAATGCCCTGATTATCTTCCCTTTTACTTGTCACTTTCCTCCAGACCTTGAGCATGCTTAGGAAAGGTATTAGATAGCCTCCAGTACAACTACAGTTGCCTTGAGTTTTCTAGAGCCGTGGGGCCACTGAAGCCTTTGATTGGCAGCTTTTTTTTTTTTTATCTGCTTCTATTTCTTTCTTAGCTTGCCTTTCCTTCACTGTGATTCATAAGATAGTTGCATCACCTGTAGAACTATGTGCATGGTTACAGAAATAGTAGCTTTTTGGACACTAATTGTTGAAGAATGAATGTTACCTGAAAGTCCTATCATAGTACTCTACCTGGAAATAAGAGATTCTTTCTGAAAGCTTCTGTAGAGTCATAATTTTTATAAAATTTGGTGTGTGTGTCTGTGTGTGTCTGTGTGTGTCTGTGAGTGTGTGTGAGTGTGTGTGTGTGTGTGTGTGTGAGAGAGAGAGAGAGAGAGAGAGAGAGAATCTTTTTGTTCCAATAGAGAATGCATGTTATAGTCCTGCATGAAAACTGTAATGAATAAGATAACGTGGCGTTCAGAACCCGTTCCTTTGTCTTCTTATAGTACTAGCTATGGATAAGCCTGCACACTTTCCTACTATTGCACAGAAGGCCTTGAAAAAACTTTTACTGATCTACAGAAAGAAAAAGCCAGTTGATGTTTTGAAATACAGGTTAGTAAATGTAATTTGACACCTAAATTAAGTTTCATGTAGGCCAAAAACAAACAAAACCAAGACCTCTAGTCACTGTCCCATAAGTCACCCACTGTAACCAACTGGTCCAACATAGAAGATTATAAGGAAACTATCCTGTAAACTTCTTTGTAGTGAAAATTGTATTAGACACTGGGGAATATTAAGCAAGATTAAGGAATATACTGTTCCCAGGGGAGAAAAAGAAGGGTCCATCCTGGTTCCCTTTATTTTTCTTGTCATATAATAAAATAGTACTATGTATCTTCCTTTCTTCATGTAATTTACTAAATATCCCAAATGATCATAAATTGGTAGCCACCACTCAACTCCAACATTTTTCCTATATTTTCTTCTGTTTTTCCCCTAGTACTTTTAAGTATCAATAATGTTATGTGGTTTAGTTGTTTTTCCAAGGAAAAAATCATTATAGTCTTTCTGCTCTGAGAAGTGAGATTTTCAATTTTTTTGTCAATTTAAATCCAATTTTAATTTCTTTGTTCCCTTGAAGAGGTAGCATGATTCTTTGTATGCCCATAAATTGAATCAGCTCATAAAATATGGCAATGGCATAACTGGGCTGGCAAAATGGTTCCTCAGATGAAGGTACCTGCTGCCAAATCTGATGATCTGAGTTCAATCTCCAGGGCCCACATAGTGGAAGGATAGAAACAACTCTAGAGTTGTTCCCTGACCTTTGAGTGCTGGTCCCACACACAAATAAAAATAATAAGTTAATTAAACAATTCCTTCATGAGGGAGATGAACTTTCCTAAAAAGACAACCAACCACAAGTGTCAAAGGAAGAACTGGTCAACCTCTTTTACACCTTCAAAACTCTGTCTTCCAAGGTTAGAAGCAAGATCAAAATCGAGGGAAACAAAGAGCTGCCTCGAAGCTCTCAGTGTGACATGAGACTCCGTTGATTTCTCTTAGCCAGGGCAGTGATTTCTTCTCTTACAGATGACTTTTCTCTTTTTATTTTTCAGCGTATGCATGCACAAGTTGATTGAACTTCTGGTGACAGATGAAGTATGGAATGTAGCATTGTACCCCCTAAAAGAAGTTTGGAGCCATTTAAAAAATGCTCTCAGCCTCATTAGCCAAACAGTAAGTCAAAGAGCAATAGTAAACTTGCAAATGATTGTAAGGAACCAAAGTGTCATGTATATTTGAATTCATATAAAATGACAACTTTCTGATAGGAGTTTTATGGTAAATTCACATTGCAATGTAGCTATCCACTTAAAAGTCTCCCTGGATCTATAAAATATAAATAGTTAATGGTACGAATTTTCTAGTATAAGTTTACTAAGGTTTGGGTCAGAATAACAAGACTACTAGGCATCTTGAATTGTTTTGTATTTTTGGAGCCTGATATAATTCATTCCCCTGTGATTATTATATTAATTTTGTAAAAAGGCTTATTATTATTCCCACCATATCTCAGAGGCAGGTGATAAAATAGAAGGAACAAAAATGTGTATTTTGGTCCCTTTCAATTGTTTGTTTTCAGTGAAGATTCTTTTGGTTCCTGCCTTCTTTCTTGCCCTTTGAGTCCATCTATGTTATCATTTTACCAGTATTTCATTCTTTTTGTTGAAAAAATTCTATACCACATTTTGTTTGTTTATTCATTAGTTGTTAAGCATTTATGTTGTTTCTATTGTACCACTATGAATGATTTTCCTATGACCATTTGTATATAGTTGTTTTGTGTTTCTGTAATTAATGTGTGTGTGTATGTGTATAGATAGAAAGGGAGGGAGAGGGAGAGAGAGAAGGAGGCAGGGAGGGGGAGGGAGAGGGGAAAAAGAGAGGTGAAGGACAGGCCCCACTATATCACTGTATAGCTCTGGCTGGCCTGTAACTCATTATTTATACCAGGCTGGACTTGAACTCACAAAGATCTACCTGACACTCCATCTAGGACTAAAGGTGTGCACCACTAAGCCTGGCTGTAGTATATATATTTAATTTTCTTAAATGTATATGTACAAGTAGAATTGTAGGGTCCCCTGCTAGCTCTGTGGTTAGCTTTGTAAAGAGCTACCCTCTGTTTTCCAAAATGGAAACACCACTTTACATCCTGGTTTAGTTCTTTTTCTATTGCTGCGATAAAATACAATTACCAAGAAAACTGACAGAAGAGTTTATAGTTTGAGAGGAAAAGTACACAATGGCAAGGGAGCAGGAAGCCAAGATATTCTCAATCACACACACAAAGCAGAAAAAAAAATGAACTAGAACTTTGAGAGTTCAAAACCTACCACCAGGGATGTCCTTCCTCTAGCAAGCCTGTACTACCTTCCTCAACAGTGCCACCAACTGGAAAGTATCTAAGCCTGTGGAAGATAATTTCATTCAAGCCACTCCATGTTCCCACTATGTGCAGATTCTGATTTCTCTACTACACCAGCATTGTTATCACTCATGTTTTTATTATAATAATCTTAGTGAGTATGGGGTGGTAACTTCTGAGGTTTGAGATTAGTAGATTCTTCATAGCTAATGGTGTGTTGACCATATATTTATTGACTTTTTATTTCTTTCCTGGAAAAATGTGTATTTGGTTTTCCCCCTTTCTAAAAATTGGGTTGTCTTTTAATTGAGTTATAAGAGTTCTTTATATATTCTGGATAAGGTCCTTTATTCATAAATATTTTCTTTAAATCTTTTCCTTTTCCCCAATGTAATCATTTGAAAAGAAAAAATATTAATGAAGTCTAATTTATCAAGCATCCCACTTTTATAGATATTATACTTTTATAGGTATTTTACTTTTATAGGTAGTGTTTTTGTAATGTAAAAAACCTTTGCCCAATCCAAGTTTACAGATATCTTCTCTTATGTATTCTTGAAGTTTATATTTCTATCTTTTGAATATAGGTTTATGATACATTTTAAATTAATTTTTGTATATGGTATAAAGTAAGAGTTTAAGTGGCTTCTTATGTACGTTTGCATATGGGTACCTTTCTGTTCTTTGAGTTTTCTCATTTGTAAAATGTTCTCTTCTGAGTCTACCACATTGCACATACATGGGTCAATGAAAATAGTATCTGTGTTATAAGCTTATTAATGAATATGTAAGATGTTAACTGTTATTTTTATGAAAGCCATAAAACAGGAGAGTAAGATGGCTTGCTTAAAATCATGCAGAAAGTAATTACTTACATTCATGATGATATATCTAAGTATATTGGTTTGGGATGTAGCTCAATTTGTATAGTGCTTGCTGAGGGTTCTGTCTCCAACATCACATAGCCAAATGTGGTGGCACACACCTGTAATCTAACACCTGAAAGCATCAGAAATTCATGGTCATCCTTGGCTACATAGTGATTTTGAGATCATGAAACTCTGTCTCAAAAGCAAGCCGGTAAACAAAACCAACAACAAAATTGAAGAATCTTCTTGGCTGTTCTTTATATAGCAAGATTTGTAAATCACAATATAAGACAGTAAGTAGGATGCCAATCTGATACAAGCTAACGAAATCTAAGATTTTCCTGGAACAACTTAATTCTAGCCTATATGAATTTAAATATGAAAAAACTTCAGGACTAATCGATTTGGATTTTCTTTTTCTTTGCAACTTTTAACCTTTTAGGAAGAGGGGGAAATTCACTTCTAAGCCAGAAGCTACATCTGGAACTTCAGCTGTTTTCTATACGCAAATTAAAAATTAGACTTACTGTAACTCCACACTGATCAATCTCTATGTCTCTGCGAGGCCAGAGCTTCTCTGAGGAGTTTGATTTTATCCATGACACTACAGTTCTAATCCCTACCACTCTTCTGCTATCCTGCTGATTTCTAATTTTCTGATGAGTTTCCTGTCCATTATTACCCATACCCGAAACGTGATCATATGCTTAGGTTTTTATACAGAAAATGATTTAGTGACTCTATTAGCTCTTTATCTTGCATATATTGCTTTTTTCTTTTTGATTGAATGTGCTGTGTTTCAAATGCTCCGGAGAAAAGTCTCCCTTTATCATTTTTTTCAAAATTTATTAAGTTGATAACTTTTATCAGCTACCTCCATACACTGGCAAAATGCCTATTACACAAATATAAAGCCTCTGCTTCATACACCATGCGTTACAGTTAGCATTCATGCTTTACTTTTATATCCATTGTCTTACTGTGATTCAATAGACAGTGTCACTGTTACTTATCTTGGATTTTCAATTGAAGACGTTTTTTAAAAGTCAGGTTACTAATTTAGTTAAAATCATCTGTGGTTAACAAATGGGCCCTGGTACAGTCTCTGGTAAGACCCTGCTTCCTCATATATGAGATAGTTTCTTTCTGTTACTTCAAATGGCAAAAAGGGAAAGGGATCTCTCTGAGGTCTTTTATAATGGCACTAACCCTATTTGTGAGGACTACCCTTTTTACCTATTCACTTCCTGATGATCCAAATTCTTAATATTGGCAATTTGAAGGTGTACTGGCTGGTTTTGTGTCAACTTGACACAAGCTGGAGTTATCACAGAGAAAGGAGCCTCAGTTGAGAAAATGCCTCCATGAGATCCAGCTGTAAGGCATTTTCTCAATTAGTGATCAAGGGTGGGAGGGCCCATTGTGGGTGGTGCCATCCCTGGGCTGGTAGTCCTGGGTTCTATAAGAAAGCAAGCTGAGCAAGCCAGGGGAAGCAAGCTAGTACGTAACATCCCTCTGTGACCTCTGCATCAGCTCCTGCTTCCTGACCTGCTTGATTGAGTCTCAGTCCTGACTTCCTTTGGTGATGAACAGCAGTGTGGAAGCGTAAGCTGAATAAACCCTTTCCTCCCCAACTGGCTTCTTGGTGATGATGTCTGTACAGGAATAGAAACCCTGACTAAGACAGAAAGTTAGGGCTTTAACATGTGACTTTGGAAGTTACATAAATACTCATTTAATTTCTCCTTTATTACTGGACTCGTTCTATTAGTGTATCTTTACCTGTTTTTAGTAGGAAATTTTAGGTTAAATGAGAAACTTAGGCTGATATTCAGAGCTAGTGACAATGAAAGAGGGATCACATGCTTCCTATGTACTCTATAATAGGTTTTATAGTATTCTAGATTTATTTTTAGAAATTGGGTTCTTTAGGTTGCTTCTGATTAAATTATTATTTTGAACTAGTTATAGTTATATATACTTATAAGAAATAGAATAGCAATCTTGTACACTCTTTACCCAGATTTCCACAATAATACCTTACAAAATAATATCACAATATCACAATCAAAAGCCAGGCATGGTAGCACACACTATAATACAGGAAAGGAAAGTTAGGAATTGAAGGTCATACTCTACTACACAGAGAGTTTGAGTCAAGTATGGACTACATAAAAATACCTGCCTCAAAATTCTAAAAGAGAAAACAAAAACAAAATCACAACCAAACTGCTGACATTATTTCAAACAACATAGGGAACCTCTCCATCACCACAGAGATTTTTCTTGTTGCCCTTTTATCCCTTCCACTTCTCTCTCAGTCCCAGCTTTAAAAATAGCCAGCTACTAAAATATTGCCAATTTCTATAATTTTGTCATTCTGAGAATGTTACCTAAATGGAATCATATAGTGTGCATTGAGCTTTAGAATAGTACAGTACATAACCTTCTCAAATTGCCCTTTCCACTTGTCATAATTCTCTGACAATTTATAAAATGATTATGTTTCACAACGGGATATATATTATATGACTCCACTTATGTGAAGTACCGAAGAGTGGTAAAATTGAGAAATATGAAAAATAGAGTGCTGGTGGTTGCTAGGGATGGAGCCTATAGAATTTGAGTTTTTAAAGATTAAAGCAGTTCTGTAGGTGGCTGGGTAGTGCTGATCGTAGCACTGCAATGTGAATGTTCACTTAGAAGTGGTAAGCTAGTAAATTGTGAGCTGTACTTTTACACTATTTTTAAAAGCCATAGAAAAAAATTTAGCCAATATTGTAACATTTGTACCATCTCAGAAGCATCAAAGAAGCTTTTAAGTGTTAGTTTTCCCTCCCCATATATCCTCCTTTACTCTTCGCTCCTGTCTCCCTCTGCATTTAATATTTCTATTCTACTTTCTGGTTTAATATTTATACTGCTATATTCTCTGTTCC